AATAAAAATTGTTTCAGTTTCAGTATATAGCAGATAGCTTTCCTATATTTCCTTAATTAATGACATAGAGAAACTAAAATTGATAACTAGTAATAAGGTGGCTCAGTTTTTTAGTATATCGAGGCAATGMTTAATACMTACCKTGGATTTCTAGATCTTTTCACCACAAAGAAGGCGGCAACAATAGCACCAACGASTACCACTAGTAMAGCTACTGAGACGGCAACTGGAACAACGAGCTTATTTCCATCKYCTCCAGAACTCGCAGTCTTCCCTTCTGTAGGAGGATTGAAATATATTGCTTACTAAGTTAGCTTAGCCAAAATTKTCCGCGCGTTCATTATCATAATTGTTTGCCATTCACGGACCAAATTATTAAATCAGTACTAGGAAATATTCTTCACTAAAAAAGATATATAAAAATTGCAAAGTTCTAATGAAAATCCATACAAATTTTTTAAAGCAAAATGTCTAGTGATTAYTCGGTAATTTCTAACAAAGTTTTTTCCTATCGTCTTACATCCTTTACTTTGAAYTTCAACATCGATTTAAATATACTCTTGAATTTTCAATATATCTTTCACTTGCGTGTTTTTTCACTAGTATCCCATCTATAGCAGGGTTTGGGAATGATACCCTCGGAAACGACTTTTTTAATTTTGTTTCGTTTTGTTTTGCTTCGTCTTTTTCTTCGTCTTTTGCGGCCCCGTGATATAGTTTTTCCCATTTATTTGAGCTCGTCATTTATTCTCATTCACCACAATTTTCTTCAATAAATGTCTTGTTCTCGGAAAACACATAAAGCAAAAAGTTGCATTCTCGCAAAAAGCCGTTTTCGGAAAATCTCGTAGGAGCATTCGCATGCCCAGGCCCACTAATGTCTTTATGTCAACTTTTCTTTACCTTTGCATGTCTTTGATCCTTTACTGTTGAGGGTTGATGTTCCAGAAGGGCATGCCAAACAGGACATCTGTGCTTCTTTTTTCTGGTATTGATTCACTGGGCAGATTGAGCATGACTTGCTTGATGACTCGTAGTARTACCCTGGAGGACATGCAGCTGAAAGGAACAAAGAAATACATTTGCTCGGTGTTGTATTGGAATTGCAATCCGGGCTCAATCCTGAGCCTCAAAATGTCCACTCATGTTGTAAACTGTATATAATATTATTCTTCTAGAGTAAACGCAGGAAAACCATGAAATAAAACTAAATTTAATACTAACAATAACAATTTGTCAGTATCAATGAAACAGAACGCAATGAAGATGAATCCACATGGGACCATTTTCAAATCATCTTTATTCCGTTCTGGTTCATTGATATTGACGATTTGTCTCTAGCCACTATTTGTTAGAATTTAGTTTGATTTTATTTCATGATTTTCCTGCATTTGCTCTAATAATATGAATGAGCGATGGCATGTCATTAGCAACTGACTCACCACAAATAGCACCGTTCAGCACAAATCCGTCCTTACAACTCAAGCCAACAAATCTTAAAGTTGGAGGACTTTCCAGCTTAAGCTTAACTCCACGGATTTCAATTGTAGAAGCGCTTTTGTTGAGTGACTGAAAAACTGAAGTCTGCATGTTTTGAACAGTTTTGTTGATGTTAGAAGACTGATTTTTTGGAAAAGGTATCTTCATCTGGAAATCAATCTCGAGTCTATTGATGTTTTGTGTATTTCTTCTACGTCGTTCGTCATCTTTTTTTCCACATTTGACATATATGTTATCCAGTTTGCAAGTACTTAATGAACAGTATCTTGGGAAATATTTATTCAATAATAATTCCATTAGCTTCAAAAAATTCTTTTTTACTTCATCAGGGTCTTGTTCATCGCAGTTTTCCGCAAGGTAGTGAGCTGTGCCACCGAGCTGAGCATTGGATTCAGTCGCCTCTGGAATAACATAATACATAGATTTTCAGCTTAAACCTACATTCTAGAAACCATTAATAATTCATGAGCTATTAGTCCAATGAGCATCGAACTATTGGTTCACATGATGGGCCTTAATATCCCGTTCTAAACCTAATGGCAATATTTTACAGTTATCATTTCACTTTGATCGATCGTCTCACTTCTCTTCAATTCAAGATGGCACAGGCGACAGTATGAAGAGAGGATTTCACCTTCCTCTACTACAAGCTACTATTTCCTCAAGTGACAACTAGCCACGAAAGTTTCTGAGAAAAAAAAAAGTGCTAAGCATATACGTTCGCACCTAGAAAGTTATTACCTGAACAATCTGGGATATCTTTATTCAAGTCCACGCTCCACTTTCCATTTCCACCACATGATAAAACATGCGGTGGATTTTTGAAAAAAGCATAGCCGTTGTTGCAGTGGATAGTGCAGAACATTCCTACGAGCATATTATCGCATGCAATGGCTCCATTATCAGGAGGAGAAGGTCGTTTACATTTATTGTACGCTGTATAATAAAATATAGAAAATTATATTAAAACAAATTTTTTTATCATAGTTGTGCAACCGTTGCCCTTGTAATAATCTCTAGTCTTCAATCACCAAAATTGAATTATATTCTGGAAAAATATTCTGAGATTTTATCAAGTTCGAAGGGTAGAAAAGTTTACCATTCCAAAGATCATGTTTATGGATATTCAACAGCCTAGCGTACAACCTATTTTGCATTTCTCATGAATCTTAAGGTTACTGTGGCCCTTCGCGGCGTCCGTTCGTTAAAAAATCATTGGCGYGTTGGATCTCRCGCTTTTATAAAGTATTATATGTCATWTGAAAGCTGAATTATCAGAGAATATGTCTATGTAATTTTTATGACAATAGTTCTTATTCATAACGCGTTTCAACGCTCTGAACTAAACAAGGGTACCCTTGTTTGCAAGAGTTCAGTGTCAACACGTTTGGCTGTATAGTCGAAGGTACTGTACAATATAAGTCAACACATACCTATCTGTCAAATCGTGTGAGCGATTTTTAATATTTTACTTAGTTTAGAAATAAATCACAGTTGAATCGAAGAATGCAATTTTTTTGGCGTAATTTGATATAAACCTTAATAAAACAAAAACCAAGACGTAATTTGAGAAACGCTCACACGATTTTCCTATTCATGAGTTGCATGTGCTTCTGGGAATTTTTCAGAACATTTTACCGTAATCGCGAGGAACTGGACTCTTTTAAACTTCGCTACCACGCGAAAAACACTAAACGAGATATCAAGCAATGAAGTTGTGTAAACATAGAATCATCATCTTTCATCGCAGTCCAGGAAGGTCAACCAACTGGCCAATTAGAAACGCGGCTCACCTGGTGTGCCTGGAAATGTTCTTTATTTCGCGGCATATATGATTTCGCGGGAAGCTTAGAATAGTTAGATGTTATAAAATATGCCTCCAAAAAAGAAAGTTAAAAAACCTAATGAACTTGAGAGAGAAAGCACAATAAAATACAACGGAACAAGCCGACAACACAAGCATCGGACTCAAAATGCTCAACGGGAGCCGTCACACAATCTAGGGATTACGACACCTCAGCAGTATTATTCATTTTTCGATAAAATGCGTTTCCCTAAATATCTCGCGAACGAAACAACTTTTTGAAAATATTTTTTTGGAATTAGAAAGATTCCCTTTCATGTAAAGCAATCTGTTAATAAAAAAAAAAATCGTCAAAATTGACGCCGCGAAGGGCCACAGTAACCTTAAACTGGTAAGCCTGAATCCAGTTGGGTAAGCTATATAATGTCCTTTCAAATTTATGATGCTATTAAAAATTGTTTGATATGCACTTTAAAGTAGTAATAAGATACATAGAGGATATTACATGGGCGCGCGGAGATACGGATTTTATCTTCGAGTATTGAATTGATATCTCACGAGTGAGCGCAGTTCCGTTTATTATATAGATATAGATGAAACAAAAAATAATAACCCTCAAAATTTCTTTATTAAAATAGATAGCAGGCGAGAGCTTTTAATATAAGTTACGAAAAAAGGGCATTGTCTTTGATTTAATACAGTTGTGAAAGAAAACGCAATAAAATATCAACATGATATTAACTTTTTAAATGTGATTGGCTGTAGCTATGCCAACAGTGATATCATCACATGTGAAAGATATGATATCTTCCACTGTTGTAGATATCATGTTTTCAACACTAAACATCTATACAATGAAATATCGATAAACGATAATAAATTGCATAAATTATATCTATATCTTGATATCTCGCCCGTCCACATTAAAATAAGGTATTTCTTACATTCAACAATGAGCTTCATGATGCACTTGGCGATATTCCCAGCTTTGTCGTATGCTGTTTGTGTGATATTATGGGTTCCCCAGAAAAACTTGGAACCGTTTAAAGGATTGGTGACAATGTGATCCACGCCAACATTATCCTTGAACTTGGCTTGTGGGAAATGCACATTAATCCATCTTTTTCTACTTTTGACTTCTTGTTTTGGAGGGCAAAAGATCACTTTGGGTGGCTCGCCATCTAATGATAGAGAATTCGTTAATGAAAAAAGAAAGTANAGTTTTGTTGATGTTAGAAGACTGATTTTTTGGAAAAGGTATCTTCATCTGGAAATCAATCTCGAGTCTATTGATGTTTTGTGTATTTCTTCTACGTCGTTCGTCATCTTTTTTTCCACATTTGACATATATGTTATCGAGTTTGCAAGCATCTAATGAGCAGTAGACTGGGAAAGCTTCATACAATATTAATTTCAAAATGTCTAAAAATTTCACTTTTACTTCATTAGGGTCTTGTTCATCGCAGTTTTCCACAAGGTAGTGAAGTGTGCCACCGAGCTTAGCACTGGATTCAGTCGCCTCTGGAATAACATAATACATAGATTTTCAGCTTGAACCTTCATGGAAAACATTTAGGATATGGAATGTGCACGTTTATAGAGTGTGAGTGTGTAGTAAAATTGATACAGTGAGTGGACGATCTAAATTTGTTCATTTCTTTGATGTAGCTCTCCGTTGCGGCAATCATGCCTTTACATCGAGGCGAGAAGACCATTGAGTTCTTATGATACAGCAGACACTTTCCTTACGGCTTCTAAACCTAATGGCGATATTTTACAGTTATCATTTCACTTTGATCGGTCGTCTTTTTTCTCTTAAATTCAAGATGCCGCAGGCGACAGTATGAAGTGAGGATTTTACTTTCCTCCCCTACAAGCTACTATTTCCTCACGTGACAACTAGCCATGAAAGTGTCTGAGAAAAGAAACAAGTGCTAAGCATATACGCTCGCACCTAGGAAGTTATTACCTGAACAATCTGGGATATCTTTATTCAAGTCCACATTCCACTTTCCATTTGAATCACATAATAAATGTTGCGGCGGTTTTTTGAAAAAAGCATAGTCCTTGTTGCAGTGGATAGTACAGAACATTACTACGGGCATATTATCGCACGCAATGGCTCCATTCTCAGGAGGAGAAGGTCGTTTACATTTATTATACGCTGCGTAATAAAATAGAGAAAATAGTATTAAATCAAACGTTTTTATCATAGTTGTACAACCCTTGCCCTTGTAATAATCTCTGTCTTCAATGACCGAAACTGAATTATGTTCTAGAAAAATATTCTGAGATTTTATCAAGTGCAAAGGGTGGAAAAGTTAACCATTCCAATTATTATATTTGTGACTATTCAACAGCTAGCCTGGAGTACAACCGTTCCTGCTTTTCTCATGCATCTTAGACTGGTAAGCCTTAATCCAGTTGGGTAAGCTATACAATGTCCTTTTCAAATTGATGATGTTATTAAAAAATGTTTGATGGGTCATAACGATAAAATTGCATCTATATCTCGATATCTCGCCTGTGCACATTAAAATAAGGTATTGCTTACATTCAACTTTGAGCTTCATGATGCACTTGGCGATATTCCCAGCTTTGTCGTACGCTGTTTGTGTGACATTATGGGTTCCCCACAAAAACTTGGAACCGTTTAAAGGATTGGTGACAATGTGATCCACGCCAACATTATCCTTGAACTTGGCTTTTGGGAAATGCACATTGATCCATCTTTTTTCACTTTTGACTTCTTTTTTTGGAGGGCAAAAGATCACTTTGGGTGGCTCGCCATCTAATGATAGAGAATTCGTTAATGAATGTTCCATTCTCTATATTTTAAAAATATGATAATTTTGAAGTCTTATAGTAGAGATATAGTATCCAATATATAAAATATGAAAAAAGGCCTTTATGGGCATTTAAAACTGGGAGCTGAGAACAAGAATTTTTAAATCCCATGAAGGGATGACGCGAATGTTTTATATTGCTTATCATGTTCCAACTTAGGTAAATCATATTTTGCTCAAAAAAAACTTCAAGAAAAAAAATTATCTTAAGGAAACAATCAAAGTTAAAGTCGCTTGAGAATCAGGACAAATCTCTTTCTCGTGTAAAGATTTGGTCACTTAGAAGAGGTCGTAATGAATTAGGCCATCAAAACAGCTTACCTTTAACTGTGATCTTGAAAGAACAGCTAGCGTTTAGTCCGGAAGAGTCAACTGTGCTGTAGGAAATAATCTTTTGCCCAATCTTGAAGCGATGAGGAGGTTTTATGTTATCCTCTGATGTTAACTTCAGCTTCTCGCCGGAGTTATCGTGAGGCTCTGGTACATTCCAAGACAATGTAGCAAAAGCCTTCCCAGCATCTGTATTGGCWGTTAAATCTTTTGGACATTTGAGGACTGGACGTTGAATATCTAAATAATAAGGTGAAATAACACAATCTCTTGGAGATTTGAAAAAAAAGTAAATGATTTTGTTGTTGTGCTAAGGTCTTTATAATTGAAGGCAACGCGTTAAACTTTCTGAGCGAAACTTTGATTCATGAAACAACGCTAAAATATTGAGGGATTATGGTAAGCAATGTCAATTTTTATATTGGACATCTTGTTTTATGCATTGCATGTCTAGTTCMTTTGTTACTTCATCAAACCACAATCTTTGCTCTAGCAGTATTGTGGTAACACTCCGGTCTAAACTTTGAGTTCTGCTCTTAAGAATGAACAATGTTGATGAGCTAACCTTTACAAGATATTTTGTCGATATCTGTAGACCAGGTGCCATTCACAGTGCAAGTAGCCTGCGTCGGGCCAACAATTTTGAATCCATTTGTGGTGTTACATTTGAAATAACATTGACGACCAGAATACACAGGAAGTCCAGAATCGCAWATTGAAGCTGGCTCTACCGTGCCAAACATTAATGTCGGCAATGGTTTGCATGTAATTTCTACGAAGCAAAAAAGGGAAGCTTAGTCCAAAGTCGGTTAAAATTAATAGTGCAAACTTAATTGTTCTTGATTCAGGATCGTATAGTTCCCTAAGACTTTGTCTTGCTTCTCTCAATGACCCTAACGTTTTGAGTAGAGTCTGTCGTACGACGTCCACATGTGGATGTTTATATGCATGGCTCTGGTGTAAACATAGAAGGGTCTCATGTCCGCAGAGAAGGTTGTTAATCATCTTGTGTACCTACACGTGGTTACTAACGAATGATGTCGCATAAATATCACAAATATTCAGTTTCACACTGATTTCATGACTTTTAAAATGTTTAAGTCTAGGAAAATATAGGATTAGGCAATGCTTAGCGCTGGGTTCGAATCTTCATGCTGTAATGCTAAGAACACATTTCATTTTCCAATTAAAAAATACTAATTTCCGATGAGTACTTGTTTACATAATGTGCATAAAAGCGTTCTTTGTGTACAACAGCGTCGTGTACGTATATATATAGCAAATAAAAACAGTCTCTCTGTTATTCTTCCCTGGCTAAGACTTACGGCTGCACGTAGTGGACACACCAGACCATTGACCATTGGACAAGCAAGCTCTTGTTTTTGCACCATTGATGTGATAGCCAGGCTTACAATCGATGGATGCTACAGAACCGAAATAGCTACTGCAAGACATCGATATTATCACACCATTTKCAGGAGGAGAAAGGTTTGTGCATCTTTTTCCTAGAAAATATTATGACGATTACATTTATTGGTTGGATGTTAGTTGAAAGGTTATTTCCCTTAACTTGTTTTGATTTTTGGCTTATGCAAAAAACATTGCTATATCATAATTTTAATTTCTCTTTGGCATAATGATGCCACAGTATGTWTACAGTGTGGAATGATGCTCAGAAAGAAATTTGGACCTATTCACATTGTTTCCGAACCTAAGTGAAGAAGTTTAGTGTACTAATTCCCTCTGATCCTACTTTGATCCTCTCTCTAGAATGTTTTTGATGTGGGATAATTATGCGATAGATCAATTCAAATCATGTATTACTTGTAACTTGAATCTTGAAGATACAGCTTCTTCGGTTTCCAKTAGCATCTTCTGCCGTGTAATTTACCGAGTAAATCCCTTCACCCAAAGTCAGTGGAGGCCCCAAATTTGKTCCGTGTACTTTAACACTTCCAGAGTTATCTGTGGCAACAGGTACATTCCAATTCACAGAGATATTACTTGCACATTCTCCAAGATTCAGGACCATGTCAATGGGGCACGTGTTCGAGAATGTTGGTGGAGTTACATCTAGAAATCATTCATCCAATGTTTTATAGAAACAATTGGATTCTTAGTAAACATGCTCTTGATTGGCTACACAATCACTGAAAATATCGATTGTTTTCAATTCCCATTGTTCTTTTATGCCTAGTATGCCTGATTTAAAGGTGTCCAATTTCGTCGTTCACATATACCGCATCCAATCTTATATGGCGCGGGGTTTACTTAAAATTTAATTAGGGAGAGCAACTTGAGATTAGAGTGGGCTTTATCAAGGAAATAGCTATGTGGGCACTGGGTGTGAAGATTTAGTGCAGGATCCAAAAAGCATCGGTAAGAATTTTTCTCGTTTCTATGCACTCGTTTCGGGCAAGGTTTCTCACTTTATCTCTCAGGAACCAAAGCAATAAAGCTGAATTTGAGGCAATCAGGCATCAGTGCTGTTTGTACATGGTTACACTTATTTGGACTGCTTGCTGGACTACTTACCCTCGCAATAGGTATCATTACTTCCAGTCCACTGACCGCTCATTGCGCATGTTCTCGTTCCAGTCCCTTTCATTCGAAACGTATTTTGACAAGCGAAAGAGCAAACATCATTATATTTCCCGCCATTAAGGCATTGCGGTGGTTGGRCAGAACCAAACTTTGGTTGTGCAAGAGGAGGACAGGAGACAGCTAWAAATCATAATAATTAAAGGTAATGGGTGTGTCTCTTCTAGCTGGCGTGTGTTAAAAAATATTCCATTGTATATTGACATTATTACTCTAGCAAGGTTTATAATAACTAGATTAAGCCTAAAAAATTGTTAAGATTGAATTCAGCCTTCTTTCGATGCGTTTTATTTGATTTTTGAACATTAAAAAGAAATGCAGGAATTTAGAACAATTTATGTGAACTGTTTAAATTGCGGCTCGTAGCTGGCCAAATTGAAGTTTACTTCCAAAAATAATTTAAAATAAATTAAAATATTAATTCATGTATGTGGACAAATTCGGAATATTTTTCATGCAAAGCAATCACTCACCACTGCAARCCAACGTCTTTCCACTCCAAGTTCCATTAGCAAGACATTTTCTTGTTTGCGAGGCAGATGGTTGGAATCCATGTACACAAGAAAACTGACATACAGTTCCAATGGACTCATTGACCTGTCCATGACAGTTAGACTTGACCGCATTGGAAGGAGTAGCAAGAGCTGGACACACAACCTCTGTACATAGGAAACAATATATAAAGGAATTTGGGATATATAATAAACGTTGCTAAACAGATTAACAGCAATGGAATTGCTTTTGGAGTGTTTTTTAAAAGGAGCTTTCCTTTGGTATTTAAAAAAAACTTAATGCAATATTTAAGATATGAGTGGCAGAATTAACTGAGAGCTACAAGCGAGTAGTTATAAATCCCAAAAATGTCAGACAGGAATATTTCATATTGCTAATCAAATGTTAACATAAGCTAAAGCATTATCCCAGAAACTTCAAGAGAAAATCGTGGTTAAAGTTATATGSAAATCAAGAGAAATCTCTCGATCCTAAATCAATAAATTGAGTCAATAAATAAAACTCATCTATTGTGAGCAACTTTTACCTAATAATATTTTAATCTTAAAAATACCTTCACAATGWGGCATCTGACTATCCCACACCCCTAGTGAGGTGCCATTTGTCGATAAACAATTCAAGGTTGCATTTCCAATCATTCTGTATCCAACGGTRCATGTAAAATTACATGTTCCCCCATAATGGTTTKCGCATCCAGTCTTATAAAGAGCGCCACTYGGGTTTGGAGATATACATCTGATCACTAAATTCAAAATTAAAAGAGTAGTGACCTCTTGCATGAAAAAGATWACTAAAGATTGATATAGTGTTGATGTCCATGTTTGAACCGTAATATGGTGAATTGAATGCMGCACAAGAATATCGAATTCCAAAGGAAATTTTACCAACCTTTAATTGTTACTTTAAAAGAACAGGTTGCTTTGTTTCCTGCTTGATCTGTTGCGGTATAAGTGACATAATGCATTCCTTCACGAAGACGYAATGGAGGAATACTCGATGATGAAACTGTTGGTGGAGAACCGGAGTTGTCTGTGGCATTTGGAAATGACCAATYGACAAGAGCGGTTTGGTCTTTCCCAGCGTATTTAGTTAGGTTTCCTGGACATTTGTTGAAAACAGGTGGAGTTGAATCTGGTCATAAAAAAGAAATATACATAAATTCAATTACCCAATAACATAAAGAGGTTAAGTGTTTGCTTATATTTGACTAATGGAATCCAATGAAAAACTCTTAAGAAAAGGCAYCTCCAAATCATTACATAAAGTGGCAATTGTCAGAATACATTTTCACATGTAGAAGTGAATCAAGCAGCGGAAAAAGGGCCAAGCTAGAGAGATACGTTGGGCATTTCAAGTCACTTAATTGTTAAATGGTTTAATTACCTGAACATGATGGTCCATCACCAGACCACGTACCATTCAAACTACAASTCACTATAGTTGAGCCACCAGTCAGGGAATAGCCGTTTCTGCACTTGAAGGAGCACTGAGAACCCGCTAAGCTTGAACAATTTGTCAGTGGTACTGTATTGGGTTKTGGTACAAACCTTGAACAATTTCTTCCTTGAATTACAATTTAGAAAAATTATGATGAAAAAAGGTAAATGACAAAAACTGAATGATTTTCAACATAAAGAGTTTCCATGAATACWAYGTTYGTTACCKTTATYTYGGCAGGTTTTCCCATCACTTGAAAGYACTCTTCCATTAGGACAAGARCACACGAAGCCGTTTGGCTTGAGTAAGCAYAAGAAACTGCATCCTCCATTGTTAACTTGACATCCATTTGCAACTAAGAGATATTATTTACATCACAACACCTGTTTAATTGACTTTGGCAACAACTCAATATAATAAGATTAAATGTTTAGACTTAATTTATGATTTAACGTAGTTATATAAAACGGTAAAGAWCAACCCMAAAAAATCACCTGWGGATTGYCTTGAGCCGTCAAATACTACAAGACCCATAAGCYTTCCAGGTATATAWAATTGCCTTGTGTGGTTTCCCGTCGTTCGATTCAATTGATGCAAACCGGTAGTGGTACTCCAGTCGGTCCAGTACAGGAATGTATCCCATATTGCAACTCCGAAGGGATGGATGCCCGTTKTGGAAAAATGCTGATTACGACTAAACCCAGAATAGTCAGCCGATTCTATCATATCCAATTTCGCATCAACCCAGTAGATCATTTTTGATGCATAATCTAAAACGATTCCATTGGGCCATCCCAGGGATGAGTTGACAATCTCTTGACGATTTTCTCCATTTAGGTAAGCACGCTCTATTTTKGGCTTTGAACCCCAGTCAGTCCAGAACATCAGCCTTAAAGAAAATACAAATATTCATAATAGAATATAAAATKTAAACTACGAACCGACRAACAAGCRCAAGAAAGACTGTAAAGCTGTAAAGCTAAAGATTGTCATGAAAGATGATTCGGAAGCTTCCGTAGTAGTGATCAACATCCTAAGAGTTTAAGCCTTTGTAAAACATTGAGCTAGTACCTTAAATTAGACTCAGTAAATTTGCACAAGTTACGAACACATTTTCTTGATATGCTGTATTCAATCGCATACCTGTATAAACTGTATGCATCCATCCTTGTTTGCACTTATGATACTTTAGTATTTAAAGTACTTACCCAGAATCAGGATCTATTGCGATATCTCGTGGTTCATCTAGGTGTTCAGAGAACAACACTTTTCTTCTCGAACCATCAAGACGTGAAATTTCAATTTTGTTGTTTGTTGTATCCGCCCAGTAGAGAAGATCATTCCTCCATTGCACGGCCAGTCCATCAACAACCCCAACGTTGTCGTTCACAATGATTTGAATGTTTCCTCCATTAACGTTTGCTCTCTTGATGGATTTATCTTGGACATCACTCCAGAAGATCATTCCATGATTGACGTGAACATCAAGTGCCACTGCACGACTGAGATGCGACAAAACCGGAAGCGGATATTGATTAAAGTTTYTGTCAACAACCAAAATGTGCGTTGTGTTGGAGAGATAGAGACATGGCTGCTGACATCCAATGTCTATGAATTAGATGTAACCATAAGATGTAAWACAGGACATCGACAAAGCAATATATAGCTACAGTTTTCCCTGCAAAACCTATATATTTTCCCTTGCGCTCCAAACAAAAYCCTTACAAAGCTGCATAAGCATAATAGACGGAAAAACACGTATMCACCCAGGTCCTGCCACACGCGCGTGCTCCTAAAAAMATCTTTGGAAAACAGTGAAACATTATCACATAGAATAKTTATTACTGAATGGTAATCAAATTTTAATTTCAATTTTGATGATTAAAATATTATTGTAGGGATTTGATGGGAATGACATTGCTGGTGAATTTTTGTCGTTTTCTTGTCATCAGGTTTTATTATTCTAACATAGAATCTTTCATTGCCGAGTGCGGATGTAGCTTCCCAATTTTCGAAGAGCAGTTTTGATTTTCAAAGTTACTTTTAAATGTAGGTTTTGCAGCATTTGTTTCGTTGGATCGTTGGATATGGATGAATGTTTAGTTGAAACTATTAACTCAATATCTCAAGGTTCAGTATAATTCATGTTCAAGAAAAATAGCTTTCTCGACTATGATSCACACCTGGGATTTTGCAGCATTTTCCGTCAGAATGCAGAACCATGACATAGGGACCATTGCAAAGTGATATGTGGTTTATTTGTGTTTTTGCAAAGGGTCGCAATTATGACTTTGTATTGCCAATGCGCATAGGTAGCATTCCAATCAGCGCTCATTCGTGATCACTTGCAACGTTATCACCCTTTAGAAATTACATTTAATCACATTCATTACTTGTATAACACATACCTGGAATTTTGCACTTTTTCCCATCCGACTTCAAGACCTTGCCAAATGGACAAACACACTTAAAACCATTGGGCTTCAGCAGACACAAGAACTCACACCCACCGTTGTTGCTTTGACAAGGATTTGATCCTGAAACAATATTACTATATAATTGTTTGTTGTATATTTAAATGTCTGTTACATATGTGAATGACCAAACTGTTGAGCCCCTTCAACAGTTTTTGGAGCAAGGAAATACGAGAATTACTTTTATAGATATAGGGATTATATTGTAGATTGCCCTTCAACCTAGAGAGAGCTCTCAACTTTAAAGGACTTTGGGAAACAAAACAAAACAAGGAATGAAAACAAGCAAACAAAAAAGTTTGATGCATGCACAATATTTTTAATTCTTCTACTGTTTGAATAATTGCTAGCTTTAGAAATTTATAAAAGAAGTCCGGCAGCCATGTTATTTGATTTTGTTGGTTGCTTTACGGTCCTGTAAGAAGCTTTTAGCCAACTTTTTCTAATCAATTATATATGCATTTTAAAAGTAGTCGAATGATAGTCTTCATATGAACACACCTGAGGACTGCCTTGAGCTGTCATATACTGYAAGACCCATTTTCCGGCTTCCTGGTATATAAAGTTGTGACGTATGTTTTCCAGATGTTCTATTCAATTGATGAAGGCCAGTGGTGGTAGCCCAGTCGGTCCAGTATAGCCATTTTCGCAATATTGCTACTCCAAATGGATGGACGCCCGAGTGCGCAAAATGCTGATTCCGATCAGCCCCAGAATAGTCAGCCGATTCTATCACATYCAWTTTWGCRTCRACCCAGTAGATCTTTTTTGCWKTGTRATCTAAAGCRATGTCGTTGGGCCATCCCAAAGAAGAGTCAACAATCGTTYGGCGATTTTCTCCATTTAGGTAAGAGCGCTCTATTTTTGGCAATAAACCCCAGTCACTCCAAAACATCAGCCTGAAAGAAAATGCTGATTTTCATAACCACATACGAATGGGCAATGTAAGCAATCTCTGTAAATCATGACACACTAAATAATGTATTTAGTTCAAGAAAAAACAAAAAAGGATAAAGGATTCTTGGAAAGAGTCGAATGACCTACTTGTATGTAAGCAGAATGCTATTGTTTCCCCCTCTCTCTCTCTCTTACCCTTTTGTTTAATATCTTAGAGCTTAATGTTGTGCAATAATTCCAAACTGTCCTGTATATAGCTTTTAGGCTACTTGAAGGTCAACAAGACATATACAAATGTAATTGTATAATCATCATACTTAAAAATCATTAAACATATTTCTCAGATTCCCCCCAGATAATAGAAATGCTAGAATCTGTTATACTTAACCA